ATATTGTTTTAAATTAATTATTACTTCACCGATCCGACCGAACGGTCCGACAGGCCTAACTAATTGAACTATGACCCGTTGACTTTTCCGGTTTGACTTCCGGTCTGGCTTTTAAAACATTAATATTTAATTACCATAAAATTTAAATAACAAGTGAGCAGTGTAAACTAGTTGTCATTTTGTATAATGGAACTTATTGTTGTATGCTCTTCAATTGTCAAACGGAATTTAAGGAGTTAAGGTAATTAAACCTCTTTATTGATACGTGATTACAATTTCCCTGAGAGCAATCCTAATATAATAGCAATCAATTATAAATTAGCACGTGGTCAACAGAGCTTTAAGCTCGCTCATGTGATGCCTTCCCTTGACTCATTTCGCAGATGAACACGAAAGCTCAAAAGTGAAGTTTCTTCGGGGAAGATTGTTCCAACTCCGCCTAGTTTCTTACTTCTTACACGGGAAAGCTGCCAGCTTTGATGCAACCATTTTCAATTTTCAGTTCTTGTATGTGAGTCCCTTAAAAAAATTAGTTATTTATCAAAAATATTATTGATTTCTTTAAAACATTTCTTTAAATCATTTGTACTGAAATTATTCCTTAATACAAACACTACTAACATGTGTCATCAATAGTTCTTTGAATTATTTACAAGCGATATTTAAGCTCTTATTTTTACAACTTTAGCTGCGGCTTATACAAATGAATTAACAGAAGATTATTATCCCAAACTATGGTTGGAGGACCCAAACCATGGTTTGGGGAAGGAGACTGCCAAACAGGGAGAAATATGAAGAAACCATGGTTTGAGTTAAAATTATGGTTTTGGGTTTAAAACCATGATTTTAGAAAAAATGAATCCATTCTATTTCTGGCTCAAATTGAAAAAATATGATTGTGCCTATCAGAGTAGATCTTAACGATAATATGACTTTAACACCCTTCAATTTTTTTTAAAACATATTTAATATTGTATTTTATAAATATATATACATATTAATTATTTATTAATTATACTATCTTATATATTATTAATTATGTTGGTAAAAAATATATTATTTACAATTTTATTCCTTCAAATTAAAATAGATTATAAAATATATCTTTTATGTAATTATTATATTAACTTATGCATTTTTAGTAATTTGCACATATAAAAAGTGCTTCTGATAACAGCTATCTAAACACTATCACTTTATCAGAATCACTTTTTCACAAGATCTATTTTTTCAAGAATCTATTCTCTAGAAACTATTCTCCAAACCATGATTTGGTTTCATCCAAACATCCCATTGAATAGTTTTTGAATATTCTTCTATTACCCTTTGTTGGTCCTGAGGGACGGAGAAGGCTATGTTAGCTGAAAGATAGTTATTAGTTCAAGAGCATAAGGTGCTTCTACTTTTTTAGGATAAGAAAGGGTAGAAAAAATGCCTCGAGCCGATGTTTGAATGCTAGGGCCTATGGGCTGATGTAACCCGCGTCATACTCTTAGGCTTGTGTGCTCAAATGACCTTCAACAGAAAGGTACATAATAATAGTTGAGAAAAATAATGATAAATATATAGGATGAAATGGATTAAAATTTATGTTCATGACCAAATTCAATGAACATGTCTTATTAAAATATTTTTAATAGTGTAAGTTATATATACAAATTTCAAACATTGGGTCTAAAAAAAAATCATAAGAAATTAGGGATCACTTGAGAGAGGTAAAATAATCAATTTTCTTTTTTGATTAAAGAATGGTATTATGATTATTTAACAATATTTAAAAAATTCTAATTGAAACTCATGGTCTAATTAGTATTTTGTTAAAAGTGCACGTATAAATCTGAATTTAAAACATATTTAATGACTTGAAACAATTTCTTAATTTGTGAGATGCGAGCTTCTCTTTTATCCGCAAGCACGTGGGCAGGAGGGGTGCATGTCATGTCAATCTTGCTTAACCCATCTTAAAGGTGTTCATTCCTGCTCCTAATCATTTTTGAGACGGGACAACATTGGTGTCGGACGTTAGTAGGGTGTCCAAGTCGTATCTGTCTTTCCTTCTCCTTCTTTCCTTTCAAGCATGGTTCAATTTCCTGAAGAAAACGCACAGACTGGACGGAACGTCTTAATTAAAGCTTTTCTTGTCCATATAAGGGACCATTGCGTAGGGCCTAACTTGTGTAAAGAAACCAAAAAAATTAAAATTAAAAAAAAGACGTAGAATACGACATGAGCTCTCTTTATTTGTGTTTTGCTTTCGGCCGGACGTGCACAAAGCATAAAAGTCATAGAATACGACATGGACCGACGTTGTCACTAATGATAAAACCAAAGAACTTTTGACTTAATAATTGTATGGGAGCACAAACATCACGGGTGTCTTCGGGATTCAATTATTTCTTTCGACAACAATGGTTGGGCTGTTCTCCTCCACAAAGTTAAAGCACGAAACAAATATCTAATATGTAATTCTTATATTTGTTTTCAAAATCAACTTTTGCAGTATTTTTAATGTGTCCAGAAATTTAAGAGGGATCACAATTTTTTTGTTATTATTTGTAAATTCAGCATTGTTAAGGCCAAACAAAGTGTTGTTATCAAATCTGATCTGGGATTTAGTAATTTTTAACTTTTTTGTTGTTGTTATTCTCCCCTACTTTATATATCCATACCCAATCTGTTTAACATGAGGATAATAAAATAATGTATTTTGTACTGCGGTTGATCTGATATTATGAAGTGTTTTTTCATATAAGTTTAGCATTTTAAAAGATTTTGTGGTATAATTTTTTCTTAAAGTATTTATTTTTTTAAGGAGCAATTGTGTCTTTAAATTATTTTTCTGGGACACTTTTAACATAGCCATTAAATCCTCAAAAGTCCATTAAATGAACATGTATCAATCATTCTTAAGTAATCTTTTAATATTTTTATGGTGGACACACTTTAAAAAACTCTAAAGTGTTGTATCATCAAATTATATATAAATTTATAAGTAAAGTATTTATATTTGTCATTTATTTTTTTCCAAACTAATTTACATCACTTATAAATTGATGTATAATCTAATGATACACATAAGTATTTTAGTGAGATCAGATAACACATGCTACAATTAAATAATTTTTTTAATTTTTTAATATTTTCAAATTAGTCAATCAAGTCTTGTAATTGTAATGAATGCCATGCATTGGCACTTTGATCTTTAATCTCTGCACGGTTTCAAGCCATAGCTTATTGTATTTGAAAAAACCAAAAAAAAAAAAACAAAGAAAGATCATTCATTCATTTGGCAATAGGATGCTCTTGTTGGATTTATTAAATTGTTGAATTTCTTAATTGAAATTAAAGAGAGATATGGTTGAGGAAATTCAAATTCAATGCCATAATAAACGCTGGTGAAAATATACAAAAAAAAAAAGGGCAGACAATAAACGAAACCATATATGTGATTATTTTGTTAATATATCATAACCGTTTTTATATCATTGTAATAGTAATACACAGATATACCATGTCTTCTATTATCTTGTTCAACTAATCTTAAAATTTTCAAAATATTTCTTGTCATAAGGAATAATTTAAAAAATAATCTTTATTATAAGTAACTAAGGTGGGTATTAATTGTTAAAATACGTGCGCACACCTGTAAAATTTATCTATGGATACTTATAAATTTTTTCACATCAATTCTTATCATGTGAGTTAGGATTTATAGACTTTCATATGAACACTTATAATTTTGTTATTGTTAGTTGTTAAAATGTGTATTTGTGCTTATAAATTTATTATGAAAAATGAACACATGTAATCTTGATAATGTTAGTTGTTAAAATGTGTATTTGCACTTATAAATTTATTTATAAACTTGAGTTAATGAATATAAACAACTTGACTTAAATTTTGCTAAAAAAACAACATACCATCTCCATGTATATATAAGTCTTTGTGTAAAGTTAATGAATTAGTTAATATTTTATTCCTAATATTCAGCCAAAATTTTTTTTTTCTAATACTACTTTTGGTATGAATAATTGAATATTGTTGAGTAATATGGTAGATTAATTAAAAACTACGATAAAGAATTCACAAATAATTATGGCTCCTCTTTTGAAAATATGGGTTAAATAAGGCAATCAACTAATTTTATTTACGTTTTTATGTCAATTATTTCAAGAGAGTAAAATAAAAGTAAATGCATGAATATGGAAATAAATCACCATCTTACAACTTTCTTTTCGCCGCATTTGAACATTATCAAAGAGTCATTAATCCAAATTAGAAAAGAGGTGATTATGGAGATATAAACCCCTGTTAGTTCTTATATTAAGGACCGAAGATAGTACGAGGATAAATTTTAAATGAAGTTCATGGTTAGAAGACGAAACAAACATTGCCAACAAAGCAAGACTTAGTAGGATCTAAAGCCTTTTTTGATCAAGTTAATTGGATATTCAATTTAGTAATATAAAACCTTTGTCTCCAATATGTATTCATGAATATGATTAATAACGATATTTTAAAGCAGATAACATCTATTTATTACAAATAATCATTTTAATTAATTTTCTTTATATTTGTAAATTAATTACCTGACTTTTATATTAAAGACTAAATATAGTATTTATGCGTGTTCCTCATGTGTTTCTGTTCATGGGTGCATGCAGTTTTTTTTTTTTTTTTTGCGATCCGTTTGTCAAGAATTAATATTGTTGGATTAAACTTAGCCATTGTTTGACCTAAATGTAACTTGGAAGTAGCTCTGTTCATAATATTATTATTTTGCTTTGAAACGTAATCTTGTAGTTTCTATATTTTTGACTTAGTTAAATTTTAATTTACTACAATTTAATTTGTATAGTTTTAAGTTAGTTGTAACTCAGTTCCTATATTTTAAATGATATATTTTATAAAACTAGAATTGAGTTGTATCAAATCAAAATCCAAGAAAGTTTAACATGAGTTGCATTGAGTGCAACGCCCACGCCGACATACACATAAATTTCAAATTTCATTTACTACACAAGAAACAGCTGAAAAAAAGAGAGTTTTCCAAATACATCTCACATAGTGCTTCTATATGACCTAAGATACAAATGAAATCATCTTGAAAATATAGTTCATAAGAAGATAGAACTGTTAAACACAACATTTTGACAAACTAGTACATATTTCTTAAGCATCCAAACATGAAACACACACAGCAATTTATTTCCAAGATATTAAACTCCTTTCATATTTTGCCCATCTTCCATTTCAAGTATCTTTCCACAATGTCCAATCCACAGAGTTCCTTTACCACAGGCATAGTTGCTGGCGCATCCAATTGGAATGGTTTGTCAAGTTCATCTGAGTTGCTCCATGAAGCAAGTTGTCTTCTGGCTTCTTTGATTGCTGCTCTTGTTGCGCAATGAACCCCAGCTGCTAAAAGTAGTGGTGGCTCACCGGAAGCTATCGGAACAAATTTTCAAGTATCTTTTAGTACAAGAATTCTTTTTTGAGAATTTAGTGCTAAAGAAAGGGAGAATTACAATCATATCCTAATTAAATAAGGGATTTAATTATCCTAAAATCTATCAACAATATGTTTAGGATGATCACTTGTCACTAAAACTTTTTGATAATTAAATTTTTTTTTTGAGACCTCTTCTTAATTCTCCCTTAAAAAAAAGATAAAATTAGGATAACTGAAAAAAGGTAAATTAAACCCACACCTCCTATTTTAGCTCTTCTACTTTTTCGATTTAGGTTCTCTCTATTTTGACTTATCCGCATACAAAGAATATGCCTACTTCATGGGTAGCTAAACAAGTCTGGAGAATAAAAGCAAAATCCTAAAGATTGATCTTTAAAGAAGCTTGGCCCATATCTTTCCTTTCTTATGTATTCTTGACAAGAGTTTAATTACAAAGCAATCTAAGAACATATAACCATTCAATCCTCAAAATAAAACTAAAGAATAATAATAAGAGATAAATAGAGCAATTATAACCAATTCTTTTGGTCTTACCTGTAGATAGAGATGCTTTTTTTTTTTTAACAATTATTTTATCCAGATTAACAAGGCAAAAGCTATTTATTACTTTTAGACTGTTGCGAAGGCAGTACATTTGTCTAAGCTATTTAATTAACGGTGTGCACCATCATATGCTTGATCACCTGACATTTCATATCTTCTTTGGAATCAGTGTTCGACAACAATTCTTATTAAAAAAAAAGTGTTCAACAACAATTAATTCATTTAACAAATACTACCTCCGGTCCTAATTATAAGAGCCAGTTGACTAATTTGAGGAGATTAAGGAAGTAAGTTGAGTTAGTTATTTATCCTAAATAGATATTGTCTTTTCTAAAATATCCTTGCTAATCAAGTGTATTGACTAGAACTATTATTGTTAGAAGGGTTACTTTAGAAAAAAAAATGTATAAGTATGAGAGATAAAATGGATTAGGGTCTTATATTTAGACCAAAATAAAAGTCAAATAGGGTCTTATAAGAACCCGAAGTAGTAGATGACATGCAACTTGAAAGTTGAGAATATGTGAAACACAAACTATTTTGTGAGTCCATTTTGGTTGGTTGAAACAATTATTTGATTTACTCAATATTAGCATCCTAAGAACATAAAGAACAATGCTAAAAGATGAACCATATATAAGCACGGAAATTCAAAGGAAATTCAACTTTCGAATGCTTTAATATTGGTTTCATTCATTTTGCAATTAAATTTCACATGATTTATTAAATCAAGGTTTGTTCGAATGGACGTTTGCAAGAGTGACTTTTATCTCAATTGAATTTTGCAAATTAAAACTGAGGTAAAAATTAATTAGTGTAATGTGATTTATATTTTAATAGGCTATTATAAAAGTGTCAGCTTGACGAAAATTTTTTTGAATAATATATTGAAAAGCTAGTTTCAAAAGGTTCAAATATAAAAAAAGAAAAGTAAAAAAAAAAAAAAAATTACTTCAACTTTAAAGTGGTTTTTAGGCAAAAAGTCATTTGCCGCCAAACCTATGGCAAATATACTTTTAGACCCAAATCGGTTTTTAGGTTTAAAAAGTCAATTTTAATAAAGCAAAAGCCATGCCAAACATACCTAATAGCTTCACGAATCAACTAAAAGAGGATGGTCCAAAAAGCATATATGTGTGTGTGTGTGTGTATGTGTGTGTGCTGCTAAGGAACAAATAATTTGAAAAAAAATTCAAATCAAGAATTCTAACAAGTAATAAGCCATACCTTTGGAAGACAGAACGCGATACTTGTGATGTCCACTGTTGAGAATTTCAACATTGAACTGTTTAGTTATGGTGTCTAATGTGGGGATTTTGTAATTCCATGTTCCATCTACTAAAACTAATCCTTCATGATTTATTTCATATTCTTCAAACATGAAATACCCTAACCCTTGCACAAATGCTCCTTCAATCTGCAACAACCAAAAAAATATTATGTCAAACTAGACAACTTCAAAATCTAATAACTTCTGCTTATTATACATGAGAATAACTTATGCCATATTATTTTATTTGGTTATCCAAGCCTTTTTCATATTCTTTCGTTAATTTCAAAATAATGTGGACTCAATGTAGTTACATGAATCCCAAAATGAGTCGCTCAATTTCCAGCTTGTCAACATTGTGCAAACTTTCTAGACTTAAAAGAACTACTCCTCCGGTCCTTAATATAGGACCTAATTGTTGAGTTGGTTTTGGTCCTAAATATAAGACCTATTTCTCATATTTATCAATTTTCTCTAAATTACCCCTATAGAGACTCCCTCAACCATAATCAAGTAGTAGAAGAAGAGGAGGTATTAAGAAAGATGATTATGGTATTTTAGGAAAAACATGTGACATTTCTTATAATTAACTAACTTACCTAATATCATTAATCTAATCAAATTAGTTGAATGAGTTTTATATTAAGGACCGGAGGAAGTATTAAACTATTGTCTCTCCTCCAATTTATACGATGTTTTCTAGGGAGATGTTTATACTCCTTTTAGCCCTTATTATAAGGACCTTTGCATGTTTCATAATATAACATGTTTTGTCTAAAGTACTAATTTTTTTTCACTTAGCTAGTAACCTTAAGTAACTACAAAACTTCCTAACTAATTACCAAACTACTCTAACTAATAGCTTTTATTTAGGATAGTTTTGATATTTTATAAATAACTAATTTTAATTGACTTCTTAACTTATGGAAAAAAATTATGATTCATTAATGACCTTGTTGCAAAAATCTCCATTAGTCAAGCATGAGTTAATTAGAGGGTTAGTGTTAAATGAAGGGCATTTTTGAAAATTTATACTTCTTTAAAAAATTAAGATTGTTAACCATACTTAACAAGATTATTTGGTTTTTGTAATTTGCTCCAAAAGCATCTTATAAGCTAAAAACGGAGGGAGTAATAAGAAACCTAACTGTCAGCTGATATGGAGTAACACCAGAAGAGAAGAAGATTGGGTCTACCTACTTCTATCAATCTTTCTCTCTATTTGCATTATGATATAGCCACCATTGACATTAATTTAAACAACCCTTATTTTGAAAAAGAGTAGAAAATAGAAATCTTAGCTCGCTCACCTGTCCCAAATCTACAGCAGGGTTGAGACTCTTTCCACAATCATAGATAATATCTGTTTGCATAATAGTGGTTTCTCCTGTGAGAAGATCTACTTCCACCTGTGAAATAATATTCAACCTTTAGTTTCCCACATCAATGATAATTTGATGTAACAAGAAGCTTCCACAAAAATTTAAATACATTTAAGCAATGTAGCCATTCACAAGCTTAATTAAAAAAAAATCACTTTCTAAATGAGAAATTGGATACAAAATGAGCCTACCTCACCCACTGCAACACCATAATTGAGGTACGTGCTGGTTGCACTGTTAGGATTATAAAATGAAGTTGCTGATAAGTTCACGCTTTGTAAGTGTGCCTGCGCAAGGAAACATATTGGTGATTACAAACATGGCGGTTAAAATGCTTTTAAAATAAAAAGAACTCTTGTACAAGTTATGCGAAAGTGTCATAAATTTCAGAAATAATAAGGAACTTTCTAAATCTCATCCCTTGATCAATATGATTGAGGAGAAGTATTATCTATGCAGGATCAATGTATTACCTTAGCAATATAACACATATAAGGAGAATCACCGCATTTATGTTAAAACCACATCCACATTGTCATTATAGCAAGGAAAATAAGGATGATTTGAACTTTCATGTTTCTATATACCTGAGAAATAAGTGTGTTCCAATCGACAAAACCCATATCCTTTTGCAACTTTTCCTTGAATGCCTTCAGCCTCTCAACCAAGACATTGCAGCTAAGCCTAACTGCTCCACAGCTTGACTCAGATGTAGTACTACCAAAAGTGGCCCCTCCTTGAATCATGCTCAACGTATCAGATTGTATGACACGTACTTTATCTAATAGGTCTTGAGATCCATCACATTGTATTAAACTAAGTGCATATGCAGCCATTTGCTTCGCCTTAGTCCACAGACCTTGACCTATTTCAATCCCTCCAACTTCAACAACAACGGACCCATCCTTTAAAATACTTGTTCTTGCTGGTGATTGGCTCATAGTTACTTCAAACACAACAGGCACACGAGATATACCTCTTTTTTTCCAGATGTTGTTCCTATTAAAGTCTTCCACCATTTCTCTCCTCTGGTCGTACCTTGCAGAAATAACTAATTTATCCCATATAGAAACTAAGGTATACTCAGTAGGCTGACCTGCAGAACTCGGGTAAAAAGTGCAGAGACTTTGGTATGTGTGGAGATTAATGCTTCTCACAGAATCTACATCTATTGAAAGTGTAGATGCCACATGTTCTATTATAGCTTCAGCAATATATGATCCCTGAAGATTCCCAGGGGCTCTCATTGAAGTTCTACTAGGAAGATTAGTTTTGCATAATTTCACATCAAAAGATAGAACACCCCAGTCATATTTCTTAAGTGCACCAATTACATAATTGGCATTATTATAGATACATCCTCATATATTCCTGCATCTATCAATATCTCAAGTTCTAAAGCAGTAATCTTCCCATTACTCTTAAATCCCACATTATAGGTTATCTTCATAGGATGCCTTCCTCCTGCCGTTATCATATCTGTCTTACGATTCATATATGTCCTGACAGGGCAGCGTAATTTGTGTGCTGCAAGTGCGCATGATGTAGCAACCTGAAAGATCTGAATGTCACTATTCAAATATTTCTATTGTAATTTGATATGTTAGTATTATTTTGCTTTTCAAAAATATCAGATATCTTGTATCTAAAATCTATTTGATGCACACTTGCTGGGAGATTTCAAAAATTCTATGTCTGCGTTATTTAAAACAAGGAAGGAAACACCCATGCTGTTCCCGCCAATTTTACATTCATCACCAGCTTTTTCAAGAGCGAGTTATTCTGCTTCAAATCTATGGTTACCATGAGCATAATTCATATACAGAGAAGATTATGTGAGAAGAACATAAATAACTACTTGCTCCGGCCCTTATTATTACGACTTTCAGCATGCCCTTGATATAACATGCGTTGTCTAAAGTACTTCTCCAGTCCTTAATATAAGATTTATTTGACTAATTTGATTAGATTAAGAAAGTTAGGTAAGCTAGTTAATTATAAAAAAATGATATATTTTTTTAAAACACCATAATCATCTTTCTTAATATCTTCTTTCTTTTTTCTACTTGATTATAGTTGAGGGAGTATCTATAGGGATAATTTAGAAAAAAAATGATAAATATGAAAAATAGGTGTTATATTTAGGATCGAAATCAACTGAAGAATGATGCCCTATATTAATACCGGAGGAGTATCAATTTTTTCCACCTAGTATCCCTAACTAATTACAAACAATATTGTTAAGAGTTTATAACTCAATTGACACTCCATGCCTCCTCTCATAGAAGAGGTTATGGGTTCTATACGCTATGTTACCAAGTAAGGGTAGGTGGGTGTGTGGGTCCCCTCTACTATGAGGGAGAGGGTTTTAAATTGTCTATATAAAAAAAAATATAAATAAATAAACAAACTATTCTACCTATTGAATTTATTAGTTAATTTTTAAATTTTCACCAGAAATAACTAATTTTAACTAATGTTTTTAATTTACATGAAAGTTATTCATAGATGTTTGTAAACAGGAGTGGAAGGAGCATAATACAAAACTGAAATACTCACAGGATTAGCTTTTGTGAACTTTCCACCAAAACCACCACCTGCCCTTCTGTGATTGCACGAACATTATTCTCAGGAATATTTAAGCATCTTGCAATAGTGGTATGTGCACTCTCTGGCCCTTGATTTGAAGTGTACACCGTCAAGCTATTGTCTTCATCTGGTATAGCAAGTGCAGCTTTGTCTCCATATAGAAGAAGTATTGTGACACAATTTTGATCTACATTTTACATTATCCAAAGAAATGTCAAATCATCTAAAGATGATAAAGAATATCTTGACATATATAACAAATCAAAGATTAATTATTCATAATAGAAGTAGAAAGAGGCGACAATAATAGAAGACAAAGTGTGCATGAACCAAACAAGATCAGGTTGAGCATCAACCTAAGGTCTGGTCTGGTGAAGAGCTCAGGCTACACAAGCAGCCCATGGTCTGGTTTGGTCTGGTCCAGTCCAACACCAACCTGAGGTTGGCCTAGACTAGATTGTTCTGATGATCTACATGGATAGTCTAGACAGGCTAGGACCTTAATTTTTTATTTTTTAATAAAAATTTAAAAAAAACAACACACCATGAACTGCAAAAATAACAAAAAAGAACATATGAAAATGGAAAAAAGGATCGGTGGGGGGAAAAAATACACACACAAACATTCAATTCCAAAATGCACAGCACGGAAACACAAAAGAAATAAGAATTTATTTTGTGGTTATTAAAGAAATGTTTTGTATTTTCTTAAACAATAAATTAGTTTATTTCTTGTCTATGCCTGTATATTTGTGGAATTTGTAATATATCAGAGGTATCAATGTATAAAACCTGACATGCAATGATCACATCTCATTCTTCTTCTGTGGCATGTTTGTGCTAGATAGAGAGAAAATGTATTAAATGAAGGAAGATTAATTTGTTCCCTGTACCTCAACAGAAA